AGTTTATCTCTTGTAAAATCACTTTCTAAATTTAATTTACTTCTTTATTCACTACTTCTCATTGTTTATCGGCTCTTTATGGAAGTTATATAAACAAAACTGTCAAATTCCACTCAAAAATAAACACATATCTTACAAAACAATTAAATAAGTTATATCTAAAAATTATATTCAGACATCATAAACTAAATATAAGAGCTCAAAACCAAAAAATCTATCAACGAAAAAAAACTTTTGGTATGAATATTGATACATTTCGGTTTCGTAGCGTTGTAAGGCTGACATCTTTTTCCATCGAATTTATAACAGGATAATTGGAAAATTCTATACTTGTTTTTGAGATAATAATTGTCAACCTTTTTACTCGCGGGCCTTTAAGCCGATATTGGAACGATATCAATTGGGAATCGCATTGATTAGATTTTAGTGCATCTAAATAGCAGAATCTCAATTTCTATTGATTAATTTAATTATTTGCATTCTATTAACTAAATCATTCTATTGATTTGTTCTATTAACTTATGTCGGAAGTTTCGGAAAGATGCATTTCCCGTGCCAAAATGCCACTTGCACCAATAATCAAAAAGAAGATTTATTTTTACAAAAAATTAAATTATTTACAATTTGTCTTAGGATTTTTTTTGACCTTTTGATATAACTTAATCACAATTCATTTGTTACAGATATGGGGGCGCAGTCTTGCAAGCCACTGGGAAAGTCGAAATTGAACGCCCCAATTGGTTATGTATTAGATCATGTCATAAGTCAGGCTGATAAAGCTAGTTCGCAATGTATGCTTTACAAGATAGTGAATTACAAAAAAGGTAATTTTATTCAATGATATTCCATCAGAGACATACGTCAAAAGTATGAAAACATACTGACTAAGCATCCTATATTATAGCATATATGCTGTTAGATCAAATAAAAAATCATCCATCTATTATATATCCTGTCAACTAAATATCGAGAATTGTTTCATAAAACGCAAAATAATTGCTAAACCATTAAATTTTTTGTAGCCTCTGAAATATTCTATAATCGAAGTAATGAACACATGACAACAATTGACCCTTCGTCAAAGCACCTTATAAAACCAGTATAGGGATCGCCTTCAGCCTTTTTGGCCATTTTTCTAAGTGGCATCTATCGAACCAAAGAGGTTTCCAACGAGTATAATTCTACGCTTTGGAAAAAAATCACACGAGATAAATCTAGCTATTACGGTAGTTGTATCATGACATTTCACGATTTAGATAAAAAAAATCATTTACAATATGGGCGGCGGTACGTATCATGGCGCAAGATTCATTAATTCTCTTTCCACAAATTGCAAAGATTTTTATGCATAATTTTTTAGAAATACTGCATAACATCTAAATAATATTCTTTATTTACCATCAGAACAATCTGAAACGATTTCTGAGTGCACAACATCACCATAATCAGACAAAATCACCAAGATGACTTCAACTTTTGACTGACTTTGATGTGATCAAAAGTTAAACTCTTGGTGTTGGCTCATCTGGGCAGCGCCATTTAGCTGTCTGTTGAATGGCTTTGACGTCAAATTGAATTACTCACATTTGATAACATTTTATGATGCGCTTCAGTCCAAATTCAATTCTAAACATGCCTTCAGCCACCTTTTTCGGGTAAATTTTTTGAAGAAAGTTTTTGATTGTTCGATCCGTGAAACGTGCCGATGGGGTAATGATTTGTTAGATACGATAAGAGTCAAGAACTAACTTAGGTATCAAGTACAATTTCCTTGACTTTGGCGACGTTTTCATCCATTGAAGACATTGATGGACGATCAGATATTCCACGACTCTTCGACCATCTTCCAATGCTATCAATGTGCCAGAAATCACACATTTATTACCATGGACTCATTAACTCCAGAACCTGATCCATAATAGTTTGAAGCATAGTGTAAATATCAAAATATAGTCAAAAAATAGTATCATAGGTAAAATTACATTTTTTTTTAAATTCACAAATAGAAAAATAATCAAAATACAGTAAAGTCGATCTGTGTCGAAAATCAGATATTTCTGGACAATTCGCAAAGAAAATACTGCTGGATATAGCAGATGCCAATTGGCACGTGACTTATGAAATCATTCTTAAATAAAACGTCATTTAATAATTTTTAATCACTTAAATTTAATGATTCAATTTTTTTTTATTAATGTAAAATAAAAATCAATAGTTATTGTAATAAAATCAATGGTATTGAACCGTTGATAAGATTAAAAAGCCACAGCAAAGCGTGGCCGAGTATGCTAATACCTATGTACATCTACCTATATATATGAGTGTTTAAGGGTGTAATGATCAAGACTCGTGTGGATTGGGTCGTGAGTTTGATCCCCGCTCTGGACACTCCAAATCACAACAAACGGACATCGTGCAGTAGCGATGTTCATTTTCACTTGAAAATATAGATAAAAAATATGTTTTCAAATGAAAATAGTCCATTTTGGGCACTGCGATGCGAAATGAAAATGGGAAACCTATCACACTATACTTCCCTGAATCGAGTTGGAGTTTAATTTAGCTCACGGAGCTGCCCTAGGGCAGTACTACCCATTATATACATATATGTACATTAATCATATTTTACATTTTTTCCCCATAACAGGAGGTGAATTAATTGATGCATACAATTTCGGCGGGCAAAGTGAAGTAGAGAAGTTAATAAAGGGACAGTTTGGAGTGTTGATGTACTGCAATGGTCATGGTCAGAAAATAAATCGCGCAGAATACTTAAGATGGAAATATCGTGATCATAATCAAGTAATATGTGATAATTTCTAAATAAGATTGAAGTTAAATTCAGATATAGAGCCCATTTTATAAATTTAGTTGTGAAAATAGTATGGATTTAAAGTTTGCTTCAATCGTACTTTGCTATATAAAATACGTAGCATATTTGCATGCATTAATTATAAGATTGCCGTTTTTTCCACAATAAAAGCTCTAAGTTACTCATAATTAATTTCATAAATAGTAAATCGAATCACCTGAAGGTTTTAGGTGTTGCACCGCCCAGCAACTAATTAGCTAGTAGTTTACTTGTTACTAGATCGCTTCACTAGTTAGTTTAGCTAATGAAGGAATATAATCAGCAAAGTTTGTGGTTCTTCTTTACCGAAAACTTTTTCCTGTTCAGTTGATTCTTTTTTAATTCTGTCCTTGATTTTTATTTTTGTACTAATTGTAATGATTATATATATATATATATATATATATATATATATATATATTACATCCATACGTTTCGGCTATAATCCTAGCCTTCACTCAGGGGAAAGATTTAATGCTAATCTTTGTGTTAAATCATGAAATGTATGTTTGTTTTTATTGATGCTATCCCCGATTCTTAGACTTTGTTAATTTATATGTCAACATATATATATATATATATATATATATATATATATATAATTATATAATATTGATAAAGATGGCTATGCTTATTGATCAGGTAGCGGTACCGATTGAATCTTCTCTATCTCCTCACGATCCCCTGAGCAAGTGGCAAGATCACAAAGCTTGTTGGCAAATGCGTTATCGTGGTCTTTTGGGTGAAAGTATGCTTCATGTTCTCATCATATGTGATACCAGATTACATACAAAATTAGCAAGAACACTATTAAGATGCTTTCCAAACTTAGCCTTAGATGTTGTCGAAGGAGAAGAATATCTTGGTAAATAGTTAGGAAATATGTGATTAACATGAAGTTTTTTTATATGTATATATGTATGTATGTTATGTAGAGCTTCAAACAAAAAATCCAAAAATTAATTAAAAACAAAAGAGTTTTTTTAAACAACCATTTCTTTATTTATTTACTGCGACGTTTAGGAACTAGGCACGTTCCATTTTCAGGACATCTGTCAAGAAACAAGATCTTGGATTTTTTAATTATTAAAATTTTAAAAAAAAAAAAAAACAATTTTATTAATTAAAAAAACTATCATCTGCTTTTTTTAAACATATTGTTTGCTTAAATCTTATCAAGATCATGTTTTTTGACATATGTCCTGAAGATGGAACTTGACCTCAATTGTATAACAACATTCTTACCTCTTATCGAAATATACTTACAAAAGTATTTCTTTCGTATCATGTCTTTAAACACTAAGTCTGTTATTCAATCAATTTTGTAACTGCCATTTTACACTTTGCATGTCTACTTTATGTCCTTTCTATTATGCCCCTCATGTCTAATGCACCTTCCACAGAAACACCTTTTTCCAAAGGTAGTACACAGCATATTTTTCTGGAGTGGAACTTGCTCCACTGTATATACATCAGGTGTACACTCCTCCTGCGCTCACTTTTCCAGTGTACTTATTTCCGTTACTGCCGGATCACTTTTCTCCATTGCATAAGCTCCATTCTTATACTTCCAGAACACTTTTCACCGTGTACGCGGTCACTCGATTAATCAGTAGTCGTACAGTGCTGACAACAATAATTTTGCACGTGGCTTCTCACACTTGAGGCACGACCCATTTCCATATTTTGGTTTAGAGCACTTGAACGCATTTACCCTATACTGCCAAATGTAACATTCCACAAAACTCACGCTTTGTGCTTTTGATCTCAAAATTTCTACTGGCTGTACTTCCTTCAGCTGGGCTGCACAATCTTCATGTTCGTAACATTTAACAGAACTTGCACATTGTGGTTCATATCTAACTATTCATAGCTTACAAATTGCTGCTCGATATACTCTTACTCTTATCGTTGTTGGCTGTTTTGATTAAGTTAATCAAATCTGCCAGTGAAAGCGACACCATGCTTTCAATACTTACTCCAAGATCCATCATATAAAATCTTCAAATTTCTCAATAAACTCAAATTTTACACAACAAATCTGGTAACTATTAAACCGCCTAATTAATAAGTACACTCACAATTATTGAAATCGCCCATTTCAATAATCACCACTTGCATTAATCATTGTCTCTGAACCTGTCAATAGACATCTCAAGTCAGATTCTAATAATCCTAGCAGTGAAATCTGGTATATCTTGGTATTTTTGGTAAAACCCACTGATAACTGTTAACCACCTGTTAATTATAATTAAAAACACAATTTGAACGTACATTTCATATCTTTTGTAATTCAGCATCAACATTATGTGCACTATGCATATAAAATTACTATAAACATATAATAATAATAATATACATTCTATAATATATTTTGCATAACAGTTTTTATAAAAAAATATTTTTTTATAAATATACTTTAATAATCTTTTTGTAAAATGTTAAAATTATACAATTAATAATTTCTACAGGAGCCAGTGCATTACATTTAGCGATTGCATACAGTAACAATGAACTAGTGCAAGACTTACTTGAAGCAGGAGCTAATGTTAACCAGCGCGCAATAGGTAATAGTTTTTATTATAAATTTTATTATATAAATTATGATATTAATTATTCAGTTATGTTTGAAAATTTATATATATATACAGGGTGGCTGATATGTATTGCAACCAATTTCAGACCGCTATCATTTCTAAACCGCTCATCACACATATGACAGATTTATTCCAGAGATTGTTCATTTAGTTGTTTACAAGCGTACAAAAGCATTTTGATCTATTGCATTCATCAAAAAAGTTATTCGTGATGGAAGTCAAGCGTGATAGTGCGATTGCTTCATATTTGGCTGGAAAACCTTAAGTGGCTATCTTTAGAGCCCTCCAGCATTAAAATGCGAACAAATATTTTATTTCTCGTACCATATCTCGTAACCGTGATACACTCAGTGTTGCACCGCGTCCAAAAAGTGGACGAAAAAAACACCAGAAATGATCCAAAAAGTTTAGGCATAAATCAATCGAAATTCGTGTCGCAGTGGTAAAAAAATGGCTCGTGAGCTGAACACATCGAAAAAACGGATGCAACACATATTGAAAAATAAACTTGGACTAAAGCCATTGTAGTTCCAAAAAGTGCAAGAGCTCATCGATGCACAAAAAAAAGTTAGACGGGAAGGAGCGCAGGGGTTGCTTCGCTTGCACGGAAGTGGCTAGTTACCGAATTTGGTTTCCTCAGATGGGAAGTCATTCCAAATCGAGCAGTTTGTGAACAAACAAAATGATAGGGTTTACTTGCCAACAATGTCAGCTAAAAATTTACACCTTCGATTGGCCACCAGAATTTAAGCGCCGCCGACGGTAATGGCGTGAACCACCGTAACGGCCGACGATGACATTCCGCTCTTATTCATCGACCGTCGGATCAAAATAACTGCCGAAATTATCGGGAAAATGTCTTAAAGGCAGTATTGAAGTCCTGGGTAGACAAAAATTTCGGTTGCAGACCATGGACAATCCAACAGGACTCAGCTCCATCAAACTCAGCAAGCGTCTACCGAAAGTGGCTTAAAAAGAGGTTTTTCGCTTCTTTTCCATCGCACAATAGCCACCAAAATCTCTGGATCTAAATTCGTTGGACTTTTGTGCCTTGGACATTTTGGAGAGTAAGGTTCGCACTAAAAATACCAATGTGACGATCATCCTAAGAAGGCGCTTCGCCGGGAATGGGCTAAAATACCCCAGAGCCATTTGCGTGCAGCGTGTTATGGTTTTTCTGCCGTTTGAAGGCCATAATTCGTGCCAAAGGTGGCCAATTAGAACAAATCTTAACCGATTCTAAAATTTGAAGTCATTTCCGACATTTTTGCTTTTGTACAATGAAATTTAAAATGAAAATGACAAAGTTATAGCGCTTTACTTTGTTGCATTACAAATCAGCCAACCTGTATATATATATATATATATATATATATATATATATATATATACATATATTATACATACTTTACTTTACTCTAGGAAGCTTTTTCCTGCCGCGTGACCAACAGCAAATACGCCGGTGCAAATACACCGACTACGAAGGACTGGCATATTTAGGTGAATACCCTCTTGCATGGGCCGCTTGTTGCGCCAATGAGAGCGTTTACAACATGCTCCTTGATAATGGTGCTGATCCTGATTTATGCGATACTTTTGGAAACACAGTATTGCATATGGTGGTTGTCTGTGACAAATTGGTTGGTATATTTGAATTATGGATTTTCGGAACAAATACGATTTTTTTTTGTTTGAGACGATTTTGGCAAGCATCAAAGTTTTCATACCATTATTGCAGTTATTCAATACACGAAACAATAACATTACATAACATTCATTTCATATAACATTCATTATATAAAACGAGCATTACCCGCAGCCTGATGTCAAGCCGTAGTAACATCGGTTTTTACTTGAAAATGTGGATAACATTCTATTTCCATGCAGATATAGTACTTACACAGTCTTGCTGCCATATTCCATTCAGAAAAGCAATTGTGGGTTTGTCTTCACCTTTTATTTACGGTCTACTTTCTCATTACAAATCCTTTTCTTAACTCTCTAAATCTTCTTATAATAAGTAGAATTGAGCGTTTGCATCTGAAAAGTAACTGTAAATGCGCTTTTGTTACTTTTGAACATAATTTATAGAAAAAGAACAAGAATAAGTAGCTTGTGATAGATCTTATGAGTAAAGCCCTACGGGAAGTTAAAAATACATATAATGAATAAAAGGCAGCAAATATATCAAATTCTATATTTCTGATGGCAGAGGCCTCTTCTTTATTTTTACACGAAATTTTCTATTATATAGGAATGATTTTAGGGTTTTGAAGTAAGAAGAAAATGTTAAAAAGTTGTTGTATAAAAGTCCGGAATGCCACACCTTGTGGAACGCCTTGCTAACATCTAAAAATACAGGCACACGGTGTTCCTTTTTAGTTAAGGCTTCCAGGCTGTAAGACATAAGCCTGTTACACTGTTGTGTAGTGAAATGTTTCTTTCTAAAGCCGAACTGATGGTTCGGTAGCCAATTAGTATGAGGATAATTTTCGCGATATAGTTGTTTTTCCATTAGTTTAAAAAGAATTGGCAAAAGAATGATTGGTCGATGTGAAAGTGATGTGAGGGTCCTTGTTTGATTTTGCTTTCATAATAATTTTAGCTGTCTTTTAAGCGATAAGCCAAGAAATAAATTGTAATATAGAATTATAGATATTGGTTAAGAATAAAACTGATTTCATGGGCAACTCTTTTAGCATTTCTCGCGTTATTTTGTCTAATCCGGGAGCAGACTTAATTTTTAAATTCTTAATTGCTTCAGAAACGTCATTGGGTGAAAAGTGTCTTATTGAGGATTGGATATTGACTGTAGTAGTTGTACTATTTCTAAATTTGGAGTAGTTTTTTAAGCACTGTAAGTAATTTGCAGGTGATCAGCAAATGCTTCCGCTTCATCTTTTGTACTCTTCGCCCATTTGAAGAATGGCTTGAAACGTCGAGAAAACATAAAATCAGCGAATCGGATTTTTTGATGAAAACATAAACTTCACCTTCGGGAAGTTTAAAAATCTCTAAAAGCTTTACCTCTTAATATTAACATTTAGATAGTGCGCAAATCAACTAAAAATTTCTTATATTTATTATTAATATATGTGATTAAGTAAATTATTGCGCCATCCGTCATAGCAGATTTTTAGCACTTGTAATATATATACATATATTTATATCTGTTTGTGTGTGTATAATTTCCAGGACATGTTTGGGTATGCACTGCGACATCCTAAATTGCCTGCGAAAAATGGTATGTTAAATTATGCTGGATTAACTCCTCTAACATTGGCTTGCACTTTGGGCCGTGCGGAAGTTTTTCGTGAAATGCTGGAATTATCAGCAAAGGAGTTTTGGAGATATAGTAATATAACCTGTTCCGCATATCCACTTAATGCTTTGGATACTTTACTGCCTGATGGAAGAACAAGTATGAACTCATCAATAACATATGCTTTTATATCGTTTCTATGAATATGAATATATATATATATATATATATATATATACATATATATATATATATATATATATATATATATATATATATATATATATATATATATATATTTAATTTGAGTTACGAAGTCGAGCGTTACATTAATAAAAATAGTATGAGAGTTTTTAGAAATTTATTTAAAATCCATACGTTTCGGCTAGCATCTTAGCCTTCATTCAGTGGCAATCAATCTAACATTTTGTACCCTATATATATATATATATATATATATATATATCTTATATATAAAATTCTTCCGTAACAGGGTATGAATGGTTAATCCTCTTAAACTATTATTCGGATTTTCATAAATTCCTCGTGAAGATTGTTAAGGGAGTTTTCTAGGATTTTTTGATTCATAGAAATATAGTTAGACTGTAGAAAAAAATATAAAAAATCACAAAAAAACGCTTATCATTGTTTGACCATATTTAAGGCATAGTTTGACATTGAAAACAAATGAAGACTGTCATTTGCCAAATATTTCTATTCAATTATAGGCTAAGGCAATATTAAAATATAATAAATTCATGATTATAAATGAGGAAAATGTAATGTCTACATTATTATTGCGGAAAAGCAGCTGAGATGTGCCAAAAATTAAAACTAGTGGGGTGTATGGCATCGTGCCTAAAGGCAAATGCTGGAACTTCCCGTACCGTAACGAAATGTTCGAGGAATTTTGAAAGTTTTCAAATAGATTATTATAAATAAATATTGTAACATTGTCTAATATTTATAAGAATTATATAAACTGAATTGCAAAGTTGAAATTATTTGTTTAAAGTATAATCATTAAAGTATAATTAATTTGTTTAAAGAACTATAGTCAGAATTAAAAATAAAATCTGAATTATTTTCGATATACAAAAAAAATTTTTTTGAAAAAAAATGTTGAAACAGAATTTTTTTTCCAAAATCAATTATTTTGTTAAGACAAGCCGAAAGTTCTTTGAATCATTTAAATCAGACGTTTAGTTCTCTCAAAAACTGTTAGCACTCTAGAATTTGAATCCAGCGATCCGAGTTCAAAGCTCGGTGGACCTTAAATTGATACAGCTGGGGTTTAGTACCGTTTCTCTTTTACCATAGATACTTATGAAGGTACTATGATTGTTGTATAGAAAACAATTACTTACTTTCCTGTACTGACCGTAGATTCCATGGTGTAATGGTTAGCGCTCTGGACTTTGAATTCAGCGATTCGAGTTCAAATCTCGGTGAAACCTTGAATTGATACAGCTGAGGATTGGTATCGTTTCTTTTTTACCTAAGATAATTATGAAGGCACTGTAATTGTTATATAGAAAACAATTACTTACTTTCTTTGACTAACCGTTGGTTCCGTGGTGTAATGGTTAGCACTCTGAGCTTTGAATCCAGCGATCCGAGTTCAAATCTCGCTGGAACCTTGAATTGATACAGCTGGGCTTTGGTACCCTTTCATTTTTACCTAAGATAGTTATAAAGGCACTGTAATTGTTGTATAGAAAACAATTACTTACTTTCTTTGACTAACCGTTGGTTCCGTGGTGTAATGGTTAGCACTCTGGACTTTGAATCCAGCGATCCGAGTTCAAATCTCGGTGGAACCTTAAATTGATACAGCTGGGATGTGGTATCCTTTTTTAGCCAAGATAGTTATAAAGGCCTGTAATTGTTGTATAGAAAACAATAACTTACTTTCTCCGAATAACCGTCGGTCCATGGTGTAATGGTTAGCACTCTGGACTCTGAATCCAGCGATCTGAGTTCAAATCTCGGTGGTACCTTAAATTGTTACAGCTGGCATTTAGTAGCGTTTCTCTTTTACCATCGATAGTTATGAAGGTACTATGATTGTTGTATAAAAAAAGAATTACTTACGTTCGTACACTGACCGTAGGTTCCACGGTGTAATGGTCAGCACTCTGGACTTTAAAACCAGCGATCCGAGTTCAAATCTCGGTGAAGCCTTAAATTGATACAGCTCGGATTTGGTACAGTTTTTGTTTACCTAAGGTAGTTATGAAGGCCTGTAATTGTTGTATAGAAAACTATTACCAACTTTCTTTCACTATCCGTCGGTTCCATGGTGTAATGGTTAGCACTCTGGGCTTTGAATCCAGCGATCCGAGTTCAAATCTCGCTGGAACCTTGAATTGATACAGCTGGGCTTTGGTACCCTTTCATTTTTACCTAAGATAGTTATAAAGGCACTGTAATTGTTGTATAGAAAACAATTACTTACTTTCTTTTCCTAACCGTCGGTTCTATGGTGTAATGGTTAGCACTCTGGACTCTGAATCCGGCGATCCGAGTTCAAATCTCGGTGGAACCTTGAATTGACACAGATGGGATTTAGTATCGTTTCTCTTTTACCATAGATACTTATGAAGGTACTATGATTGTTGTATAAAAAACAATTACTTACTTCCGTGTGCTGACCGTCGGTTCCATGGTGTAATGGTTAGCACTCTGGACTTTGAATCCAGCGATCCGAGTTCAAATCTCGGTGGAACCTTAAATTGATACAGCTGGGATGTGGTATCCTTTTTTAGCCAAGATAGTTATAAAGGCCTGTAATTGTTGTATAGAAAACAATAACTTACTTTCTCCGAATAACCGTCGGTCCATGGTGTAATGGTTAGCACTCTGGACTCTGAATCCAGCGATCTGAGTTCAAATCTCGGTGGTACCTTAAATTGTTACAGCTGGCATTTAGTAGCGTTTCTCTTTTACCATCGATAGTTATGAAGGTACTATTATTGTTGTATAAAAAAAGAATTACTTACGTTCGTACACTGACCGTAGGTTCCATGGTGTAATGGTCAGCACTCTGGACTTTAAAACCAGCGATCCGAGTTCAGATCTCGGTGAAGCCTTAAATTGATACAGCTCGGATTTGGTACAGTTTTTTTTTACCTAAGGTAGTTATGAAGGCCTGTAATTCTTGTATAGAAAACCATTACCAAGTTTCTTTCACTAACCGTCGGTTCCATGGTGTAATGGTTAGCACTCTGGACTTTGAATCCAGCGATCCGAGTTCAAATCTCGGTGGAACCTTAAATTGTTACAGCTGGCATTTAGTATCGTTGCTCTTTTACCTTAGATGGTAACTGTCGGTTCCATGGTGTAATAATTAGCACTCTGGACTTTGAATCCAGTGATCCGAGTTCAAATCTCGGTGGAACCTTAAATTGATATAGCTGGGATTTAGTATCGTTTCTCTTTTACCATAGATAGTTATAGAGGTACTATGATTGTTGTATAAAAAACAATTACTTACCTTCCTTGACTAACCGTAGGTTCCATAGTGTAATGGTTAGCACTCTGGACTTCGAATCCAGCGTTCCGAGTTGCATTTTTTACCCAAGATAGTTATGAAGACCTGTAATTGTTGTATAGAAAACAATTACTTACTTTCGTGTACAGACCATAGGTTCCATGGTGTAATGGTTAGCACTCTGGACTTTGAAACTAGCGATCCGAGTTCAAATCTCGGTGAAGCCTTAAATTGATACAGCTGGGATTTGGTACCTTTTTTTACCTAAGATAGTTATGAAGGCCTGTAATTGTTGTATAGAAAACAATAACTTACTTTCCCCGAATAACCGTCGGTTCCATGGTGTAATGGTTAGCACTCTGGACTTTGAATCCAGCGATCCGAGTTCAAATCTCGGTGGAACCTAAATTGTTACAGCTGGGATGTAGTATCGTTGCTCTATTACCTTAGATAGTTATGAAGTGTTGTATAGAAAACAATTACTTACTTCATATACTGACCGTAGGTTCCATGGTGTAATGGTTAGCACTCTGGACTTCGAATCCAGCGTTCCGAGTTGCATTTTTTACCCAAGATAGTTATGAAGACCTGTAATTGTTGTATAGAAAACAATTACTTACTTTCTTTTGGTAACTGTCGGTTCCATGGTGTAATGGTTAGCACTCAGGACTCTGAATCCAGCGATCTGAGTTCAAATCTCGGTGGTACCTTAAATTGTTACAGCTGGCATTTAGTAGCGTTTCTCTTTTACCATCGATAGTTATGAAGGTACTATGATTGTTGTATAAAAAAAGAATTACTTACGTTCGTACACTGACCGTAGGTTCCATGGTGTAATGGTCAGCACTCTGGACTTTAAAACCAGCGATCCGAGTTCAAATCTCGGTGAAGCCTTAAATTGATACAGCTCGGATTTGGTACAGTTTTTGTTTACCTAAGGTAGTTATGAAGGCCTGTAATTGTTGTATAGAAAACCATTACGAACTTTCTTTCACTAACCGTCGGTTCCATGGTGTAATGGTTAGCACTCTGGACTTTGAATCCAGCGATCCGAGTTCAAATCTCGCTGGAACCTTGAATTGATACAGCTGGGCTTTGGTACCCTTTCATTTTTACCTAAGATAGTTATAAAGGCACTGTAATTGTTGTATAGAAAACAATTACTTACTTTCTTTTCCTAACCGTCGGTTCTATGGTGCAATGGTTAGCACTCTGGACTTCGAATCCAGCGTTCCGAGTTGCATTTTTACCCAAGATAGTTATGAAGACCTGTAATTGTTGTATAGAAAACAATTACTTACTTTCGTGTACAGACCATAGGTTTCATGGTGTAACGGTTAGCACTCTGGACTTTGAAACTAGCGATCCGAGTTCAAATCTCGGTGAAGCCTTAAATTGATACAGCTGGGATTTGGTACCTTTTTTTTTATCTAAGATAGTTATGAGGGCCTGTAATTGTTGTATAGAAAACAATAACTTACTTTCCCCGAATAACCGTCGGTTCCATGGTGTAATGGTTAACACTCTGGACTTTGAATCCAGCGATCCGAGTTCAAATCTCGGTGGAACCTTAAATTGATACAGCTGGGATTTAGTATCGTTTCTCTTTACCATAGATAGTTATAAAGGTACTATGATTGTTGTATAAAAAACAATTACTTACTTT